AGTTGGTAGTATGGCCTAAGTAATTCTTCAAGAACAGGCAGAGTTTTCCTTCCTAAAGAAGTATATTTATATGTGAGCCATTGTAAACTTTTATCATTTTTCAACAGTTACAATGTGCTTAAATATTTAGGAGAAAGAAAAACTAAAAACTGGTTTTATCCTTAAATAATGATTCAATTTAAATTTTCAATTCAATACAATGTAAAGCCTTGACTCACCACTGTGAATTATATCCTCGAGTGGGGATGGCCTTCTTTGTACCCCAGGGGTTTGGACCGGGTGCCACTTTTGTTATTAGGCTTGGTCTGCTGGCCTCCTTACAGTACATCTGCCAGTTACTCACCAAAGCGTTGTAGGTTATAGGTTTGCCGATCACCATGATCTTTTGTTGTTCTCTGTTCCTTTTGCCCGCACAGGAACTGGAAGAAATAACTTTTTATATTGTTACGACCCGGCTCTAGCCGTAACGATAAAAGAAGGGGAAGAGACATCGGCCAATGTTCCGAACCCTCGTAGGGGCATTTATGCATACGAATATCAGAATCAGTTTCCTTTTTAATGCAGTAAGTAACACGGACGTCACAGACTTGGAAATTGCCATCGGCCAGTGCACCAGTCGAGAGTAATAATATAAAAAATAAAATAAGATAAAAACACTTTAAAGGAACATACATTTAAATTTAGAATAGAGTTAACGTTTTCATATTTACAATATACAAGTGCACCATGGTGCACACCATGTAAGGTGACAGCAGTACGTGAAGTAAAGTGAGGTATGATGGGCAGTTTAAAGTGACTTTATAAAGGGGCGGTTGGGGACAGGTTTAGACGGTGTTCAGAGTCCAACAGCACGAGGGGAAGAAACTGTTCTTGTGACGGGAGGTTCTAGTCGCTGTGGACCGCAGTCTCCTACTAAGGGGATGTGGTTGGAATAGTCCAAGTGCAGGGTGGAGGGGGGCGGCTGTGATACGGACAGCCTGCCTCGAGCTCGGGCGACCGTACAGGTCCTGCCTGCGATGGAAGGCTGCGTACCAATCACTTCCTCTGCAGAGCGCACAATGCGCTGTAGTCTCTGTGTGGTCCACTGAAGTGGCTTCAGCGAACCAACACGGTGACGGAGGAGGTGGGGATGGAATCGATGTTGGGCCTGCTTGTGAGAACTGCACCAAATCTGGCAGGCGCTTGGCATTCCTGAGCTGCTAGCAGGATGTACATCTCTGTGGGCCTTCTTGATGAGGGAGCTGATGGTCAGCTCCCACTTGAGGTCCTGGGTGATGGTGGTGCCAGGAAACGGTCCAAGGGGATGATCCATCACGGACAGGTGGGGGCGGGGGGGACAGTGCTCTTCCTGAATTCACAATCATCACACTGTTCTCCGGGCGTTCAGCTCCAGGTTGTTACCACTGCCACCCAGGACACCAGCCGGTCCACCTCCTCCTGTAGGCGGACTCATCGTTCTTTGAGATGAGTCCAATGAGGGAGGTGTCATCCGCGAACTTGAGCAGCTTCACAGAGACGTGGCTGGAGGTGCAGTGGTTGAGTAGTACGGGAAAAGAGCAGGGGAGAAAGAACAAGCCTGTGGGGCTCCTGTATTTATATATCCGAGAGTCCGAGACATTCTTCCCCAGACGCACTCGCTGCTTTTCCTGTCTGTCTGGAAGTCAGTGATCCACTTGCAGGTGGAACGGGCAAGTTGAGCTGGGAGAGCTTGTCCTGGAGCAGGGTGGCAGGATCGTGTTGAAGGCAGAGCTTAAGTCCACGAACAGGACCCTGGCGTAGGTCCCGGGGAGTCCAAGCTGCTGTAGGATGTGGTGGAGGGCCAGGTTGATGGCGTTGGTCTACAGATCTGTTGGACTCTGTAGGCGAAACTGCAGGGGTCCAGGAGGGGGGAGGTGAGGGACTTGAGATGGGAGAGGGACAGGCGTTCAAATTGACTTCATGCCGGACAGACGTAAGTGCTACAGGTCTGTAGTCATTGAGTCCTGTGATCCTGGGCTCTTCGGGACGGGGGGGCATTGATGGAGGATTTGAAGCAGGCCGGGACATGGCAGGACTGCAGAGAGGGAGTTGAAAATGTCAGTGAACACAGGAGTTACGTCACTCGCGCTGTGTCTCAGAGTGGTGGAGACACTTGGTCCGGGCTGAGCTTTGGGGGGGTGCAGCCTCAAGATAAGAGTTGTTAATATCTCTGTCGCGGGACTTGGCTGCTTTCAGTTCGTCCCTGAATGTTATTTAGTGCTTTGTAGCCGCTGCGTCCCCCTCCCTGAAAAGCCGACAAGACATGGCATCAATCCACCCTTACGGGCCATCCTTAGCCGTCTATACGGGACAGGGACATAGGCTCGCCACGTGCTGTCCCGGTGTGGGCTTTGCTTCGGTGGGGTTGGTGAGGATCATTCTCTGCAGTGTTATTCCTGCATGCTGGACACGCCACCGCTAAGTGAGAGGCAAGAGAAGAAGGGAAAGAACGCCTACCGCTGATTGCGCATACGATTTATGAACTTGAAACTGACATTGAAAATGTCCCAACCCGTTGGACATGACGACAACTGTGTCTCTTCCCTGTTCGCTTCGGCATCAAGATCAAATAGTTTGTCTCAGATGTTATTTCACGAACCGTAACCGTAATATTTTGTTTTAATGTTGATGTTATATAGGACAAAAAGCCTTCACTTGATCACCAGGCGGAAAGGAGTGGACTCAGGACAACCTGCCAAATGCGCGACTCAATTTTGGCTTTGGTTTACACCAGTTGCCACCGATTAAAGACGTTGCCCTAACCCGTTACCGTGATCCAACGATTTTTTCAGGCGGTCAGACTCTTTAACTCAGCAGCCACTAGCTTGCTTGGACAACCTGGTACTCAAGTGACCTCCCTCGCAGCCAACATCAACCAAGGCAGACCCTCCTCCCGACCTTACTATCTCTATACAGTAAGTTTAGAGATCGGTAACTCCGCTTGGGAGTGCTTTCAACTAAGTTATTTCCGACCTAGAAAACATATGAGAGTTTCTAGTGTGTTCCCCTCCCCCAATGAACCACTTCCGGTCTCCAAAACCAGAGATGAACTGTGACCAATTCTGTCACGAGTTAGCTGTAACCAGAAAGCAAAGGATACACAACAGGATAGCACTGCTTTGACAACAGTCAGTAATCAGTAATTGTATGTGATTTTATTTAGGACTCCCTTGAAAAAAGGTCCTTAATCTCAATGGGACTTTCCTGGTTAAATAACAGTAATAAAAAAATAATAATGTAATTTAATTTTATATATATATATATATATATAAATATATTAGGGCTGTCCAAATTATCGAGTTCATTCACGTTAATTACCGTTTTCAGTTAACGCGTAAAAAAAATTAATTAACGCATTACTGCCATGACGTGTCAAACTCTTGTTGGTTGTACCCAAATGTAGAAGGTTGTGAGCAAGTCAAACAGACTTATAGCAGAGGCTCGGGATAGACTGCGTCACAGAAAACTAGGGAACTCAAAGAGCAATGGAGAGTCAGGAACAAAATTCCAATGTAGTGACACGGAAAAACATAGAGAGGGCGCCACACAGACGGTTTAGGTCAAAGTGCTGATTTCTAACTAATTTGGATTAATATGTCAAATATATGGCCAGGACATGTAGAGCCACTATAGGAACCTATTTAGCAGTGTATAAGTAAAAAAAAGTTGATATTGGTGTTTAGTTACTCTTTAAGTACATTTGGTATGAATAATAATTGTCTTTACATTTGAAAATCTCATTTAACTTCAATTGGAGTGATTGAAATAAGAATGTTAAAAATGCGATTAATCGTGAAGTTAACTCACCATTTCTATGCGACGTAATCAACTAAAATATAATTCATTCGTTTGACAGCCCTAATATATATTACTATATAGATATTTATATAATATATATAATATATTCATATATATTTTTTTTATCATTTTGGCATACCACTAGAGGGAGCCCGCGTACCAGTGATTTACGCGTACACACTTTGAGAATCCCTGAACTACGTTCATACAGACAGACCAGACTGACATATACAGTACTGACCAAAGTTGGGATGCTTTGTCATTCTATGAGTGGTAGATTCCCTGCGCCTGTGTAAGGGCTAGTTGACCAGGCTCCACTAGTCACCAGACTGTGGAGGCCATCCAGATGGTTTTGTGCTGAGTTGGACACAGAGTGAAGGTGAAAGGGCCACCCAATTGCTCAGCCTTCAGGGATCTCCTTCAAGACTGTTGGCAGTCCTTTTCAATCACTACCTCATGAAGTCATCAAGAGAATGCCAAGCGTGTGCGAAAAGCAGTACTCTAGAGCAAAGGTGCTACTTTGAAGAACTTCGATTAAGACTTTTTCAGTTGTTTCATACTTTTTTTACTTTAGGTACATACATAAATCCATGAGTTACTTCATAGTGTTGATGCCCTTAGTGTGTATCTAAAATTTCATAGTGTACATAATGAAAATATGAAATAAAAACAAATTTTGAATGAGAAGGTGTGTCCAAACTTTTTTTATTTACAGTTGTCAAATGGGCTTTCATTATTACTTCTCACCTTTCAGATGGAAGAGGAGAACGTAATATGTAATACACTTCTAGAACTACCCCACCATTATCACAGCTTACTACAAAAGTCTTTAAGCTATAGCTCTATACATACTGGTAAAAAAACTTAAAATGTTTGTATTTTTGTAATATTTTTTTTTCATTTGTTAGTGGGTGTATGTATGTACCATATCGTATTGCAATCCTCTTCAAAAGTTTAATTAGTCCACACATTGATTAAACATTGTACTCTAAATAAAGTGTTGTGAGACACCGTCCCTATTCCGAACAAACACAATCACAGACCACATAGCTGCAATCCAAGCTACAAATATTTCACTTTATTTGAGAAGTAAATTAGTAAACTTCTTGTTTTAATCTCTTTATTAATTTCTTTTGTAAATAATTTTCCCCGGTTACCAGAACGGAGGAGATGGAGGGGCGGGGATGCCAAGTTTCCAGTGCCACTCACACTCAGCCAGAAGCATCACTTACTTCTACCCCTCACAGACAAGGCCATCCCCCAGCACTGTGCTCCCAAAAGCTGGGCACCCAAAGGAGAACGCCCAACCACACCCAGCATCAGGCAGCAGCCACAGCAACATGGACTTTATTGAACGTCCCGGACCAGGGCATTCAGGGTGAGCACTGAGTCACAGAGCACAGACGGGGACATGTCCCAAAGTGAAGCAGACTGACACTTGATTGTGGTTATGTCGATGGACTAGTAACATTGATGGGGAATGACTCAAGGAGTTTACGTTGGATGTTTTGTATTCTAAAGGTCTAACAAGAATCCCAAATAAAATGATCCTAATGAAATAATAAAAACTAAAGATATCTAACTGTGGAACCATACAAAAAAAATTTAATAAATCAATAGTTATTGTTTATCTCTCTAAAACTCTTTACTTCAATTGATAGTTTTCAATGTAAGTATTTTTGGGCCTCGTTCACACCTTTAAACTTAGCTTTTTCAGTGAAAAAAGAGAGTACTCTCTAGCCAATCAGCTCTCAGTATGTAACAGACAGCAGGTTTTCGATAGATGAAGACAAGGCATGTTTGTGTTTCTGATTGATTTTTTTTTATTCACAAAATGTTACTTAAACAAGACATGATTGGACCTATTATTAAAGGTTTTGGGCAAAAGAAGAAATAAGGACAACACAATTAAATATGTTGCCTTTTATGTTTTGTGTGGCAGAAAGCAGTGGAAGCGCAGCATCAGCCAGAGGCCTCTCCCAGCCCCCAACCCCAGCCTCCCCTGTGGCACCGCGCTGCCAGAGCTCTGTTACCAGTACATTTGGTAGGACACCGATGAGATCAGCTTTCGAAGTCAATGGTCGTCTTTGAAACTGCTCAAAGTAGGTACGTAAGGTTTGACTACATGGATGGAAATCATGTTTCATTAAAGTGGTTCTCACCCGCTCCGGCCGCTTACGTCACTCACATTTCCTGTTCAAATCTTCTCTAAATGGGTAGCCTGAGGACTAAAGGGGCCGTGAACGAGACTGGGCCGTTTACATTGCTTGGGCGGGGGCGGTGACGTCGTCCAACTTCATGTGCCAGTGTGGCGCCAGATTCAAAATTCTAATGTAGTAATACAGGTCGCAGCAGGAGGCGCCACCCAGACGGTTTTAGGCGAAAGTCTGACTATCTCTTCTTTTCCTCCTTCCTTCTGAGTAGTTGGCTTGTTCTTGTTCTCTTTCTTTTTCTTTTTCAACTATTTTGTTGTTTCGCATTATGTTCGCTCTTTGTTCTGTTTCCTTTTTGCTTGTTGTTGAGAGATGATAGTCAGACTTTTGCCTAAACCGTTCTGTTCTGTGAGGCGCAATCTGCTGGCGACCTGTTATTACTACAGTTGAATTTGAATTGGCGCCTAGACACTGGCACAGAGTCGGACCGACGTCAGCCGCCCGCCACAGAGCAATGTAATACGGCCCAGTCTCGTTCTACGCCCCTTTAATCCTCCAGGCTACGCCATTAGTGGACGATATGAACAGGAATGTGCGTGCAGTAGCTCCGAGGAGCGGGGCGGGGTGAGAACCCCTTTAATGAAAATGGATTCATATCCAGTAGTCAAACCCTTAATACCTTCTATTGAGCAGTTCAAAGGAGTCCATTGAATTCGAAGCTGATTCATCGGTGTCCTGACCAATGTACTGGTACAGAGCTCTTGCAGCGCGGGTGCCACAGCTGGGCGAGGCTGGGGTTTGGGGGCTGGAGGAGGCTTGGCTGATGCTGCGCTTCCTCTGCTTTCTGCCCACACAAAACATAAAGGCAACATATTTATTGTGTTGTCTATATTTCTTCTTTTGCCCCAAAACCTTTATTAATCGGTCAATCATTCTTGTGTTAAGTAACATTTTGTGAACAAATCAGACACAAATGCTGTCTTCATCTATAGCAAACAATGGCTGTTCTTTTACTATGAGAGCTGGATTGCTGAGAGGAGTACTCTCTTTTTTCTGCTGAAATAAGTCTAAGTTTAAAGGTGTGCAGAGGCCAACTACTTACCATGTGAAACTATCAATGGAAGTAAAGAGTTTGAGAGAGAGAAACAATTAACTATGGGATTTATTTAATATTTTTGTGGTTTCAACGTCTTAGGGATATTTCTAGTTTTAGTAATTTATTAGGATCAATTTTATTCGGGATTCTTGTTAGACTTAGAATACCAAAATCAGCAGTAACTCTTGAGTCATATTCCCACTCAGATGTTACTTAGTCCAGTCGACATAAACAACATCATGTGTCAGTCTGCTTCACTTGCGGGACAGTGCCCGGTCTGAGTTGCTCTGTGACTCAGTGCTCACCTGCCATGCCCTGGTCCGGGAGGCTCGCATCACGATCACCGGACGCTGTCTGGGACGTGAGCGCTCGCATCACGATCGATACCAGACGCAGTAGCAAGTTGTCTTTGAGCGCCGGGACGTGAGCGCTCGCATCACGATCACCGGACGCTGTCTGGGACGTGAGCGCTCGCATCACGAACGATACCAGACGCTGTAGCAAGTTGTCTTTGAGAGCGCCGGGACATGAGCTCGCATCACGATCACCGGACGCTGTCTGGGACGTGAGCGCTCGCATCACGATCGATACCAGACGCAGTAGCAGTTTGTCTTTGAGCGCCGGGACGTGAGCGCTTGCATCACGATCAACCGGACGCTGTCTGGGACGTGAGCGCTCGCATCACGATCGATACCAGACGCTGTGCAAGTTATCTTTAAAGTGCGTGCCGCCACCAGAATCCTATTGGTTCACTTACTTGCTTGTATTGCTTTGCTGGGAGTTTACGAGGAAGCCAGTAGACGTTGAGCAGCCAGGATAGCGGACGCGTCTGGCCTGATGTAGGCGGAGAAGGCCGAAGAGGACCAGCGCCCCAGTTGTTGCAGAGAGGTGTGGGGGAGCCCCAGCGAGGCCGCGCGCGTGGCAGCGCCTATCCGGAAAGAGTGTGCCGTGTAGAGCTGGGGAGATAATTTACAGAGGAGCAGTAGGGATCTTAGTTGCGCTCTGAACCAGGTTGCTGTCATGGGAAGAATGTCTGGAGTGAGAAAGAGAGGTCCGTTAAAGTCTCCTTTTTTGTAGCGGAGGCGAGTGTAGCGCATCATGGATTTGTAGGGGCAGAGAGATGTGTCAGAGCGAGCTATTACTATATTGCAGGCTCCTTTGATTTTTGAATGTTTGAGACGGAGGTTGAAATGGTCAGGGTAATAGGCCAAATCGGAGAAAGCAATGTCTAGGGCCGCATTGAACGTAGAGTGAGCAGTGGTGAACTCGCTTATGCGGAGAAAGCCATAAAAGGCGAGCAGAAAGGCGCAGCGAAGGAGAGCAGACGTGTACTTGGAAAAAGAGCCGGAGTTCAGTGTGGTGCAGAGCTGTTCCAGGATGGGCAGCGTGATGGGGAGCCGGTGGTCAGAAGAGTGGGGAGCACATTTGTTGATGCCTTTGAAGAGGAGTTTAATTGAGGGTTCAGAGAATAGAGAGGAGAAGGCGGGGTTGTGGCAGCGGGCCTGAAACTGAATGCCAGAGAGCAGCGTGCGAATGTAGGTTGTTTTGTGATGGAGATTGTCTGAGCAGTGAACTATGAAGGCTATGACAGTGGATACGGATGGAGGTAGTGCAGGGATGTTGTGAGCGTGGCAGAAAAGGGAATAGGTTTTCCAAGCGGAGCTGTATGTAGATAGAGTAGAGGGGGAGAGGCCCTTTTTCATATAGGAAGAAGCAGAGGAGAGGAGGAGAGAGAGGGAAGGTGAGACTAGTCCAGGGTTAGTTGGTCCATGGTGGGGACCGCGCGTGGCTCCGTGCAGGCTGAGGGGCAGAGGCGCCGGAACTCCTGAAATTTAAAACGAGACAGACAGTCAGCGATTTGATTAAGGTGACCGGGGACGTGGCGTGCAGTGATTATAAAATTATTCAAAACAGAGAACCAAGTAATGCGTCTGAGAAAAGACATAATGTTAGGCGAAGAAGAGCGGCCTTTATTTAGTGCTTCCACCACGTCGAGATTGTCACACATTACGGAGATCCTTTTTCTCCGCCACGTATGACTCCAGAGCGCGCAGGCCACGACCACGGGGTAGATTTCGTGTAAGGCCGAGGAGATGCTCCGGGGAAAAGTAGCGGGCCACGGCCCGGCGAACCACTGGTCCTGATAGAATCCCCCAAAACCCACGGAAGGGGCAGCGTCCGTGTAGAAGCGGAGATCGTCGGAGGACCGGACGATATCGTCATAGAAGAACGAAATGCCGTTCCAGCGGTCCAGCAGCCGCGACCAGAAGTCCAGGTCGGAGCGGCACCCGTCGTCCAGGGTGAGCGTGTCGTGCAGGGAGGGAACCGAACCTGCGAGGGTGAGAAGACGTGAAATAAAAGAGCGGCCCTGGGGAATGATGCGGATGGCATAATTGAGGTGTCCGAGCAGAGAGAGCAGCTCGCGTTTCGTGATGGAGGGAGAAGAACGGGCAGATTGCGACACAGCACGCACGCGCAGGAGCTTCTCCAGCGGGAGGGAGGCCTCCATGGCGCGTGTGTCGAGGCGGATGCCGAGGAACTTCAGGGCGGTGGCAGGGCCCACGGTCTTCTCCTCGGACAGGGGGACCCCGAAAGCCGAGAAGGCCGACTTCAGCCTACGGAGCGAGTCCCCGGAGCCGTCCGCGGGGGGGTCGACGAGGAGAAAGTCATCTAGGAGATGGAGGACAGAAGGGAGATGGAGGTCGTTCAACAAAATCCAGCACAAGGCCTCAGAAAGGTTATTAAACAAGGAAGGACTGCTCCTGCAGCCAAACGTGAGGCGCGCAGCAAAGTAGAAGCCGGAACGCCACTTTACTCCGAACAGGTGCCAGTGGTCGGCATGGACGTCGGAACTATTTTCTGAGAGGGGGGGCGGGTTTTTGTTGGGAGAGTCGAGGGAGAGACTCATACTTGGATTACACTGGATAATAACATACCATCTTAATTGTTAAGAAAAACAAAAAAATAAACAATATATATCAAGCAAGTCACTTATCAAACTGAACTTTTTTTTTTTTCAATACGCATTCATGCGTCAGTCTCTCCGGTGGCTTCATTGTGTTGTGTAGCCCAGTGACGTGCGGTCAGATGAGGCAGGTAAGGCCCTCACCTAAGATCATAGAAAGAAAAGTAATATAATGGATACAATAACGTTTGGTCACTTTATCAAGTGATTTGTGCTGTGCCTTATTTAATTTATTTATACCTTGAAATCGCAGATTTGACAGAGCGGCGCTGTGAGGCGAGCCTCTCTTGGGAGACGTAAAAAGCAACAGCTCACAGGGAGAGTCCTGTGAGGTGCTATCAAACTGTTTTCTCTGTTTATCACAGTTTAAAAAGTTCAAAAATATTTAATTTACAATCAACATGTTTACATTTAAGAGGATGGCTCATAAATTGTGTTTTTGAAGCAAATACGGGTCTTAATCGCGCTCAACCACAGCTTGTAAGTGAGGAAAGCCTCAAGTGGGGCGCTTGTGAGCCCAAACGTTGGCTGCATCCAATTCCATCAGAAAGCTCCTTTCTTGTTCTTTTCTGCTAAGGGCAGCTACAGGTTTGGCTAACATACCTATAATACATTTTAAGATAATTTAAAATGCACTTAGAGTAATGTTTTGCTTCCAATGATGATATGAATCATAAGAAAAGGAGGTGAAGGGTAAGGTTGAATTTAGAAATTGGATTTACCCGGGAGTCGGCTGCAGCAAAACTCGCAGTTTACGGAGGAGACACCCGTTTTTTTTACTTTTTAAAACTCATTGAACTTATTTCCAAATGGAGGATTACATGTCTGTGCTCA